CACAAATAATAAAGTTCCATAACTTCAGTGGGAAACAAAGACCACACCTTATCTCCCCAAGGCAATTTCCCATCCAATAGATGTGCTATATAGGTGTGTATAACCCTTTGTCCTGTTTGTTTCTCCCTCTTTCAGCACAAGAACCAGAGGGGGATTCAATAGAGCCTGAATACCTGCACTGAGACCCTCACCCTGCACCCTGAGTCTCAACTCTCAGAGTTTTTCAAGCCTTTCCCTGTTATTTGTATTAAACCAAACATTAAGCTTCCCAATGGTGTGGTCTTCGTTTTGTGAAAAAGTGCAAATGCAGTGTTTGAATATGATTACCTCACATATTTTGTTGCGGCTGTCTGTTTTGATTGTTAAATTGCTCCTGCTGACTTGAGCCAGCCATTCTTTCCTCCTCTCTGTGTCAGTGGGGAAGCCGTACATTCTGATTCTTACTCCTTTCTCTGAGCGATTGGAGCATCCCCAGGCAGCACAGCAAACCATGGTGGAGACTATATTCCAGGACAACACGGAGGAAAAGGCACAGACAAACTGCATGACATGCTATTCAATGTTTATTGAATTCCATGTATTTACAATGGATGTTCCTAAAACAACACTTTTAACGTCATAATCATGTTGCTGCTAGTCCATTGATAGTCACCTGTTGGTCTCCTGTCCTTTCTGAAAGTCATAAAGATGACATTTGTCATTTAGATTACTTATGTCCTCAAGTACCATGGGATTACTGAAACAACCATGAATTAAAAAAAATGGTAGAAATGAATCTAATCTAAATTTTAAAGCATTCCTTGCCATGCCTCCCTCTAAATATATCAATAAACATTAGGAAGTGATGCTCCTGACTACCATACCTGTTTAAGAAGATAATATTTGTTTTAAATAATTCAAAGCAATACACAACAGCAACAGGCTCTTTAACCAAGGCAACAGCCTAACATGTATATGTTAACAAGTAAACTAGCTGTTCACACTATTCCTAATATTATCCATAAATATTAGCAGATTCTATTTTATTTTTAAAACATATCGATGTAAATACATACACATATCGGTATGTTGTATAAATATTGCAAATCAAGACCTTTATTCACTACTTATTACCAAAAATCGTAGTTCTATCTCCGGTAATCATGCATTCAAATGTCCCGCCACGAACTTCCGGGGAACTATTGACTCTCCCTGAACCACGTGACGATCAAGCATTTTGGACTTCCGCTGTCGTAACTCTTCTATCTATATGGTGCTGGCCAGGTCAGCATTGAAAATGAGATTTTATCTCAATGTTTTTATCTGGTTAAATAAAGGTTAAATAAATAAAATAAATTCAGCTTGCTAACGTTAGCTTAAACAAACGTAACATGCAACGTTAGCCTAATCCAAAATGCTCTACTACGCCGTACCTTTCATGTGGCTCGTCAGCGCAGACTCTCCCATAGTTATTTTTGCACACTTTGCAGGAGGCTACTCGTGGGCTTCGCTTGACCCTCGTCTTAGCCATGGCTTGTATTTGTCTTCTGCTAGACAACGTTCGTTGAAACTGCAACCTCCTGGCATACTGTCATCTATCACTCTCATCAGAATGCCCAGGTCACACACGTAACAAAAACACTTGCAGGTCACGCGCATAGCGCGGGAAGGCAGGAAGCAATTAAGCGCGCTCCGACTTCTTTATTTTCTTTTAATCTAAAAAGCGAAGTAAAGCATTTACAATTTCAAGCACTTTATCCCAAATTCAAGCACCATTCCCAAAATTCAAGCACTTTTCAAACCTTGAAAACACCTCGTACAATTTCAAGCAATTTCAAGGATTTCCAGCACCCGTACGAACCCTGACTCTCCTGCGGCTTCCTCCGAAGCGTGCAATGCACCCTCTCTATCTCCGGAGTATCCGGGGGATCCAATATCGATGGTAGCCATTCTTCTAAAAATGCAACAGCATCTTTACCTTCAACTCCTTCAGGAAATCCATCCACCGTCAAATGTTTCCTTCTTTGGCGATTCTCCTGGTCGTCAAGCTGCGCCCTGAGTTGAGCCTCCGCCCGGGTGTGGTTTTCGGCCAGCTCGTCGTAGTCTTGGTGCAGGCTGGTAAGCGACTGTTGTAGCTCGGTGCATGTTTATTCCAGTTGGGTCACCCTATCTGTGTCAGGGGGGGGTTCTCATTATTTGACCTTAAGGGCTTTACTGCATAAGAGGCCCTAAAGAAACTGCTCCATTATCTGTATCAAATGCACACATTGATACCACCAAATGACACAATACAAATAAATTGATTTAGGCTACATCTTAAGTTATTAATATATACCAGAGGTGGGGACTCGAGTCACATGACTTGACTCGAGTCAGACTCGAGTCGCATATTTTTTGACTTGAGACTTGCTTGACTAACATTGATAAAAGACTTGACTTGACTTTGACTTGGTATTCATGACTTGAGACTTGACTTAAGCTTGAGACAGATGACTTGAAAGGACTTGTCTGTTTAAAATTAAATATTTGCTTTTGTTTTTGTATTGAGATATTACGTTTAGTTTTTTCGAAAAACGGGATTGGGTGATTATAGCGCCGTGCACGCAAACCTGGCAACCCACTAGACGGCAGGAGCGTCAGTTAACATGGCAGCGGCTAGCGTTACTCCAAAAATAGTGAAGTTTGGATTCAAGGATTATGTTGTTGATGACGCTAATAAGAAGAGAACAGCGGTATGCAGGGTCTGCAGCATAAAGATCAGTGACACGACCACCACAACATCCAACTTCATTCGTCACTACAAAAAAACACACAGAGAAAGGTGCGTGAATGTGTTGTGTTAGCTAGAAAGCTAACGTTAAGTTTAAGCTACGTTAGACTTGGTTTCAAATCGATTAAGCATTGCAAAGAGAAGACAAAACGGTAAATGAACACTAGAACCTCCAAGGGATTCATTTGTACTAACCCTGATACTGACGGGCCGTCAGGAGAGGGAGAGAGAGAGAGAGGAAAAGAGATGCCTCGTTTATTTCCCCTGTGTTATTATCAGAAGTTACTGTAAACTGTTGAATAATGTAGTTCATCTACTTTTAGTAGTTTGTTTAAATGTTTTAATTATGTTGTTTTTGTTTGTAGAAGTGCATCATTCCTTGATTTATTGTAAAATGAATCTGAACTTTTTTATCTGTTATGATGATAAACTGAAGCAATTTCTAAATTAAACCAATTAAGTGAGTTTTAAATCGTCCTACTTAGTTTATAAGGAAATTATGAAGAGGAACAAATTAAATGATTTGAAAATGATATCTATGTAGGTGCTGACGCTGTTGGCGGTTCTAGTGTTAACAGAAATTTAAATTAAATATGTGTAATGGCAAATGCCATATATGATTTTCTTACCTGGAATTCTGCCTTTTTGATTGAGTCATAGCTATATTGTCTGCAGTTCTAGGGTTAATATGAATCCAATATGATTGCCATCGGTCTAAATTAGATTTCAAATGATTAACTGTGTATGTAATGAAGATCACAGTGTGGGTTAAATCCATTTTCATAACCACTGTCTTTTAACTGATTTAAATGGGGAAACTGGGCTTATTCATCAGAATTTCGTATGACTTGACTTGACTTGCTTGACTCTCACCACAGTGACTTGGGACTTGCTCATGACTTGCACATGTAGGACTTACTCCCACCTCTGATATATACACAACATCTTTTTACAAATATCCAACCTTCAAATTGCTATTTTAAATCAATATTGTATCAATATCCACATCATTAATCGAAATCTGCGAAGTAACTAAAGGTATTAAATAGAGTACACTATTTACCTCTGACTTGAAGTGGAGTAGAAGTACAAAGTAGCAACACATTTAAATACTCAAGTAAAGTACAAGTACCTCAAAAGTATACATTACATTACGTACTGCAGACAATCGTTTATGAGGTCCCAGATCCACATCACAGATTAGTACTCTCAAGGAGGAGTTAATAGTTTGCTAAAAACACAGGAGAAAAAGTGCCAAAATACAGTGTGTATTGCTGACTAACATTTGAACAATTTTAGAAATAAAGCATTAGATATATTTCTCACTATTTCATCAAAGAATCTGTCTGTCTAAAAAAGTTGCAATACTGGATTGATTTGCTTCTATCGAAGTAGACTGTCCTAGCAACATGATTACCCCTTGAGTTTAAATAAACACATCAATCTTTTTCCAAGAAAAATACCTTTTTATTTAATTATAAATCCACATAAGAGTATTTATGAAAGCATAAAACCCCCATTTCATATGTTGCTGTGTTTTTCTCCTTAGTATGGTAATTGGTTTCATTATATTGTAAGTAAATCATGGATATCAAATCATCAAATATTGTAAGATGTATGTCACATACAAACACAGACATTGTCATACGGCAAAGGGGAGCGGAAGGTAGAGGGGTGATGGGACAGCGGAAGTTCTGCTGGCCATCTTTTAGAACCACTTAATACTTTCCATTTAATTACCATCTTTTTTATTATTAGGAACATTTATGGTTCAGTTTACCAGTGCTGTAAAGGTACAAGTGATTTCCAGTGTCTAAACACAAACATGTAATTCATCATTAAATGTCTGAGCTGTAGGTTTTGCTGTAAATAAAACCTTGCAGTAGTTCCTCAAGGCTTCACTCTCGGGACACCAAAGTATCTTGTATTTGTTTAATCTCATAAGAAAACAACCAATCCAATATGGACTTGAACACACTAATATTTCCACATTAAGTAATTTGCAGCCGGATGAGTTAGATTGATAATACACAGAGAGAGAGAGAGAGAGAGAGAGAGAGAGAGAGAGAGAGAGAGAGAGAGAGAGAGAGAGAGAGAGAGAGAGAGATGAGAGAGAGAGAGAGAGAGAGGAGAGAGAGAGAGAGAGAGAGAGAGAGAGAGAGAGAGAGAGAGATAGAGAGAGAGAGAGAGAGAGAGAGAGAGAGAGAGAGAGAGAGAGAGAGAGAGAGAGAGAATTAAAGTGCCACAGAAGTTCACCATTTATCATGACAATTTGTTATTATTGAGAATTATACAAGACCTGTGCCTGTGTATTCAATCCAAGGAGCATCATGAATAATCTCTGCTAAGAGATGAGAGAAGTGTGTTTTTTGCACATCTGCATATTGTCCGAAAATCTTAATAATGCTTTCATTATACTCTAGCATTCCTTTAACATATGACTTTATGCTTTGGAAAGAGAGGAGAGTTGCCACAACCTTTTTTGAAGATCCCGGAAAAATGTCATAAAAGGGGTTTTCCGTAATCCAGTAATCCTTTCAGTGCATTTTCATAGGTGCATTTAGTGTCCATATAGAGTCTACCTGAAAAATGCAGGGGCTGAATGTAACATCCTTTAGGTCATTGAATTCCTTCTTCATAAGAGATGAAGGGCCAGAGCGTGTTCACTCTGATTTAAGGTTTCAAACTGCATAGCATCTATCATTATGCAGGCTTTATAGCCAAAAGCCTGACGTGTGTCCGTAAAGGTCCAGCAGTGTGTAGACACTTTTGCATTTCAAGACGAAGGCAGTTTACCCTCTGGCTTTTCCCATCACATCCAATCGGTTTCTGGTACAAGGTGACATTAGAAGTTGGATGTGTGCCTCTGGCTCGAATACCTGATTATCGGGGCTTATTAGAAGGATGTGACCATGCAGTCCACTGGGGTACCTTAGGGAGACAAGAGTGAGAGATAAAGAGGTCACATTGAGTGATTGATTTATTCATAACTGTAATAAAAGTTGCATTTAGTCTTTAAAGACTCACTACTCCAAGTGAAATACCTGCATTTAAAATCTCTACTCAGCAAAAATGGAAGTTGATCAGAAAAATCTAAATTCAAGTACTCATAATGCAGGAATGGTTTGTGAGTATCATTGTATATTATAATTATAATGCCTGATGCATTTCAGGGTTCAGCCCAAAATTCTAAAACATATATTATTCCTTTAACCTGAAGTACTATTTTTCAATATAGTACTTGCTCCACGAGATGTCAGGTTTTAAAATCCACATTCTCCCTGTAATTGTATATGGAAACAACCCCACTTACACCAACAAACTCCTGTGTACTACTTGAACTTCAGACTGAAGCTGTACGTTTTTCATTTTATGATGCCTTACTGTTCATTTAGTTTACCTTCCTGTTGAACAGTCATGTTTGTCAGTTAAGTCACCATTAGTATGTTCGCAGGCTAATGTGACTCAGCAGCGGCTAGCTTGCATTGTAGACCCACAGACTGGAGAAATGTTGAAATATACGTAATTTAGAGAGAGATTGTTTGCCAAGCCTCATGTGAAGCCAGGTCAATCACAACAGTAGTAGATTAGAACAGGGTTCCAGCAGGTTTCACCAACTCAAATGTAAGACTTTTTAAGACCTTTTTAAGATCACTTTGAATATAATTTAAGACAATTGCTATGAAAGAAGAAATACGTACATGAAATGTATTCATGTTCAACATAAGAACGATGACTGAACATAACAGCATAACATAACACAGAACTGTGTTAGCGTGTTAGACAAAAAGTCTGTGTGTGTGTGTGTGTGTGTGTGTGTGTGTGTGTGTGTGTGTGTGTGTGTGTGTGTGTGTGTGTGTGTGTGTGTGTGTGTGTGTGTGTGTGTGTGTGTGTGTGTGTGTGTGTGTGTGTGTGTGGTGCTAGATCGTATACCTCCTGGCGGCGGAAGTGACATAATCGTGGATGAGAAGTCGGCAACTTTTGTATTAAAAGTTTACCCTAAATAGAGGAGAGTTCCGCTCAGGCACGTCTTGTCACAAATATGAGGTTCATTAACGAATAATGAGATCATACTCTATAACAACATTAAAATGTGTGAAATATACTTACATTTCAATAATAATGGTTTGATTATTAAATAATAACTTACAGTTCTAATTTGTGTTGTATTTGTGGATAAAACCCAAAGAACATTTAGGATATATATAAATACTGATCTTTTAGTGATTTTTGTCTCTCTTGGAGAAATTAAATTGCAACATCAAATACAAAAGTTAATCTGAAACAAACTCAAATACCAAAATGAAATTAATCCACAAATTATGATTGTTATAACTTAAATGTTATACCTGGAAACACAAATACACAACCGAAAATAATACATTTAATATGCTCGTCTCTTGTCCTGGGTGGCAGATTACGTCACTTCCGCCGCCTAAAACCCAGGAGAGGATCTAGCCGCTGCTGCACTAGCTAACGCTACATTAGCAAAACAAACGCTATTTTCTTTTGCAAAAGGTGCAGCGGGCTTCAAACACGTTCCCCTCAACTGGTTTCAACCAAGCACTACATTTGATGTTTTCCAACCAAATATGGTTGAATTTACACTTCCCCATATTTGTTTGTAAATAGATTCGAAGATACCTTAGTTTCTGACTGCTGCTAGCTTGGTTGCTGGGTTACTAGCTGGGTGTTCTCCGATAAGGGGCCGGGGGAAACAAAGTTAGTGACAACAGTTCCATGTTGATTTAATTCAATACAGATTGTTGGGGGGAACTGAAAGGCTCTCACCGTACTGGTTACTTTGCAGCCCGGACATTTCCCCCAAAACACATTTAGACGCGATCGCAACACAGAAGTACCTTTCAAATCCCATCATTTTTAAGACCTTCTAAATCATATTTAAGACCTTTCTTATTTTTTTGGTCATTTAAGACCTTTTTAAGGCCTTAAATTCAGATTATCAAATGTAATACCTTTTAAGACACCGCGGGAACCCTGTTTTGAATTGAGAAACAGTTGTTTCTTTGCTTTGTTTATATAAAGAGGGTCAGAGCGGGTGATATCAGCAGAATGAATTAACTGATCAAGAATGTCACAAGGACAGATACAGGAAAACATTCCTGCCATAACCAGCTCCCCCCTGGCTGCAGAGAGCTCACAGCTCCATCGTTTGTTCAGTTTCTCCCTCCTCACAACCATGAGCAATTTGCACATACTGTACATTTTTTACTTATACCACCTCATTATATACCTCATTTGTTTATGTATACAGTAAACTGTGCTTATATGTTTCTGTCCTTGTAGTAGATTAGTCTATGAAAGAGTATTCTAATATATTCTGTAAATGTTTATATTGTGTATTCTTAGTATACTTTCCTACTGTGAATATGTATAAGATCGAAAGATACTTTTAGGTATTAAATTATTCAAATATTTAAATTAGCTTTTAATGTTTATTTGATTATATTTGTCTATCGGTCTATCCTTCTATTTATCTATCAATGAATCTTGGTACATCGTTAACATCTTGTCTGCCTGATGTTACATTTTGTAAATAAACTTTACCTTGGTTTGCACTCTATCATCGCCTCGTCATTGATTTTTACACTGAACAATCCAGCCGGTCAACCTCACAGGTCCCTAAGATATATTTCAGAATACATTCCATAAAAATCTTTAGCATATTGTTATATAAATGTTCAGAAACAAAACTTGACTCTATCACCTGCTCTTGGCTGTGTTCAGTCTAGCCTGTGACATGACACTTTGGCCAATAATACGTAGGTACTTCCAAAAGAGTGGCAGGAAGCCTTGGCCACCACAGGTCGTTTCAGAAAAAGGGAGTCCTACCGGCTGTTCTACAAATGCAGAAGCATTTCTGAGATGCATGGGAAGTTGTTATACCAGCTTAGGCAAAAATATACCTGTTAAACCTCAAGCCTGTTTTTCAGGTCTCAGGCTCGAAAATGAAATTCCCAGAACAAATGACTATATCTCCACTTCTAAAAGGGGTAAATTAATAATCTTTGTTCTCAAAGCAATGATAAACCTGTGAGTTGGATGTAGAAAAGTCAGAATCAATATAGATGTTTTTATTTTAAAGCCAATTCAGATTGAACATAGTAAAAACATGTAAATTATAGTTTCCGTCCAAAACAAAAAACATTACTTATAGTGAAAACCACCCTTGAATGATGGGATAGTAGACAAAAAGCATTAGGAATACAAACTATAACATATAATAAGTACCCTGTATCAAGATTGATGCAAAACAAGTGAAATGTGACATTTTTAGAGAGATTTAGAAGAAAGAAAAACACCTCTGGGGTCATTTGGTTGTATTTGCCATATCTCTGGAACCCATTGGTCGATTTTGGTGATTGACTCCTCTTTTGAACCGTTAGAGCCAATAGAATCGAGGGGGACTTCCTAAATCCACCTAAACATTACCATTGAGGATTGAGAGTGATGCACACGCAGTTTGCCCAAACCGAAAGCTACGTTACGCTCTATATGAAAACTAGGTTTAATGCCATAAATGTTGTGATGGATTATCAGTAATCATTTCAAAGGGACACAGAGACATTGGATTATCCTTCAGCAGCGTTTATATGCGTTTTGATGCCATTGAACACAACCTTTGATCAGAAAACAGCAAAGGTAAGACATATTTGTCGTTTTGGCCCCGTAAAGTGAAGTTGTGTGTTGTCTTTCCTGGCTTCCCTGCCGTGGGTTTTAGTCGCACAGTGATGAGACTTATACCATTGGAATCTCAGCTTTCATATGATATCTAGTTTGTGCAGATCCGATGAAGTATAACATATTGCTACCGTGAGTTATGTGCTAAGTGCGTTAGCACTCTTTCGCTTGGTGCTAATTCAGACGCTCGGTGTTAGAGTTGTGTTTTGTTTCGGTAAAAATTGTTCATATCGTCAGTTAGCTGAGTTTCTTCCCGTTAAGTGGGTATGACACATTAATAGGTTGTTAACTGTTAAGAAGCCCTGAGACCAGGGCCGTATCCAGGATTTGCTAAATACCGAGGTCCAAACATGCTAGGGGGGTTCGGGGGTGTACTCCCCCGTGATTTTTGGGATTTCCATGATCTAGTTAGGTTCTTTTTAAGTCCTGTGGGGGGTCACAAATTGGATAATATATTGATTTCAAACCATGTCAGTGGGCTGCAGCATACATTATCTTTGAAAGTGTAATGCATAAGAATCAGTTGATTGTTACTATGAATGATCTGGACATGCAGAAGAGGCTAAAATGATCCCAAAACATTGTCAACATTCATTTTCCATGTCTCTCTCCTTTCCATAACCTGCAGCCTCTCTTCCATCTTCTTTAGTCTCTCTGTCTTCTTCCTGTTCATTACTCTCTCTGTCCTCTACTCTTTCTCTTTGTTCAATCTCTCCCTCGTTGTTCACTTTCTGCTCCTCCTCACTTGTCGCTCCTGCCAGTGAATTAAAAGCAATTCTGTAATTTAGTTCATTTCACTTGTTTGCATTCTTTTTTAAATACAAATCTGTTTTGTTTGATTCTCAAAAGAGAACAAAGATGTAAGCAAATTGTGTTTTATACAATTGTATGTTATTATGACATCATAACTGCAATAGATGTATGTTGTTAAAAGTATGCCTATTGTCTATATTGTAAATGAAGATAGATAGATAGATAGATAGATAGATAGATAGATAGATAGATAGATAAATAGATAGATAGATAAATAGATAGATAGATAAATAGATAACTAGATAGATAGATAGATAGATAGATAAATAGATAGATAGATAAATAGATAGATAGATAGATAGATAAATAGATAGATAGATAAATAGATAACTAGATAGATAGATAGATAGATAGATAAATAGATAACTAGATAGATAGATAAATAGATAAATAGATAAATGGATAGATAGATAGAT